TAAGATAGGTAAATAATAATTAGTTATTGTTTAGACTTTTAGATTGTTTATATTGTTTACAATGTTTAGATTGTGTTAGATTGATAGATTATTTTTTAGAAAGTATATCTTTTAGTGTGTCAATTTTGTTTACAGTAAAATTGTTAAATATACGAAATTTAAAATTGTAATTGCACTGTTTACTTTAAAGTTATATTTGTTGCTAATAAACGATTGCTCCGGGGTCATTCAGTAAATTTTCAAAAACGTTCTTATTTTGTGTACACAAAGTATTGCTCATGATTAGGCGATCCTGAAAATTTCAACTCAATCCGTTGAGCGGTTTTCAAACTACCTATGATTTGTAAAATGCTAGTATTTCTCTCAGCCGTGACAATACAATGACGTCACCGCATGGGGCGGTTAGCCGGCTTAGTGCGCGGCTTAGCAGTTAGGTGCGCGTACGCTGTACGCTATTTCCCAGATCATGGAGAAAATTTATTTTTATTTTACCTCTGTCCCAAATGAGTTTCGTCATCTGCAGGCTATAGAATCGCAGCAGATGTTTTAGCGTTTGTGCATATTAAATTTAAAAATGGGAGCAAATTTCATAAAAGCAGATTCTCCTAATTTTCCAGAGGTAGGTTTGTTAATGATTATGGATTTTTTTAATAAAAACCACAACTTTATCAGTGCTGTAATGAGAGTAGTGAAAATCCAAAGCTTCTACGAAGTGCATTTGTAGCGAAAGTTTTTATGTTTTTGTACAATAAAAATAGTAAATAAGAATAAGGATTTTGTGTTTAATTATACGAGACCGTTTTTGTCACAGGTTTCAAAGATTTACCTAATCAAATGTAAAATTCTTATTACTATATTTATTCCCATGGAAACTACATAAATTTACCTAATATTATATAAATATATTAATAATACAGGGTGTAAGAAGTATGACTNCACGTTCTCGAGCTCGATTTTCATGGCAAACTCGACTGTCAAATCAGAAATTTGCTATCTTCATTTGTTTTTGAGTTACAGGGCGTTTCTCGTTATTGTGACACTTTTGAACACGTCTGTATCTCAGCTGTTAAATAAATTGGAGTTAAAGTGAAAATTGTTCAAGGCTAATTCTTTGGCGTAGAATTGAATGCCGGTATTAGATTTTTAGTAGATCTTAAGATTCCGGAGTTATGACCCAAAGTTATATTTTTTTAATTGGAAATCGTAGCTGGTTATGACCTCAAAAAAATGGAGATTTTTTTTTGCTTTTCAGCAATATACCACATGCTATAGTTATTTTTCCAAACACAGAAGATACGGGGTGTTTTATATATAAATTCGATCCTTTTTTACATTTTNACACAAAGTATTGCTCATGATTAGACGATCCTGAAAATTTCAACTCAATCCATTGAGCGGTTTTCAAACTACCTATATGATTTGTAAAATGCTAGTATTTCTCTCAGCCGTGGCAATGCAATGATGTCACCGCATGGGGCGGTTAGCCGGCTTAGTGCGCGGCTTAGCAGTTAGGTGCGCGTACGCTGTACGCTACTTCCCAGATCATGGAGAAAATTTATTTTTATTTTATCTCTGTCCCAAGTGAGTTTCTGCATCTGCAGGCTATAGAATCGCAGCAGATGCTTTAGCGTTTGTGCATATTAAATTTAAAAATGGGAGCAAAATTTCGTAAAAGCACATTCTTCTAATTTGCCAGAGGTAGGTTTGTTAATGGTTATGGATTTTTTTAATAAAAACCACAACTTTATCAGTGCTGTAATGAGAGTAGTGAAAATCCAAAGCTTCTACGAAGTGCATTTGTAGCGAAAGTTTTTATGTTTTTGTACAATAAAAATAGTAAATAAGAATAAGGATTTTGTGTTTAATTATACGAGACCGTTTTTGTCACAGGTTTCAAAGATTTACCTAATCAAATGTAAAATTCTTATTACTATATTTATTCCCATGGAAACTACATAAATTTACCTAATATTATAAATATATTAATAATACAGGGTGTAAGAAGTATGACTGCCATAAATTCAGCAGGGGATTGAATAATCATAAATGAACAAAAAAGTTGTATTACAGGGGCGTAAGATTAACAGTTTTCAAAATACAATGAGTACTAATATTGAAGAGTTTCATCGGAACGTGACAACACGTATACACGCGGCAGACTTATCCTGTGGAAAAAATGTAAAGAACTATTATTATCAAATATTTCAAGGCACTGTTATTTTCTTAGGTGTCTTCACACTAGTGTTTTCACACTAAGGAACAATACAATACATGTAATTTTTTTCTGCTCTGTGTCTTCCATATTGCTAACAAAATTCGATATTTAAACGTACCAATCGAAACTTAACAGGAATCTAAAACCCGACTACCCAACTGACAACCACAAAAAAAGACTGACATCACACGCAAGCATGTGGCAGCGGTTTCCCATGCGGTGACGTCACACCCGCCGTTTCAACGGATACTCACAATAAGTACGCCAGTTTATAATTTTTTTTGGATGACTTATAGGCGATATAAAATTCTACTTTTTAGCTGAGAACCTTAAAATTGCAATATCTTTCCGTTAAGCAAATAAATAAAGTTTGCTAAATGAACTCATTTCCTTTAACAGTGGTGTTGAAAATAACATATTTTTTATGCAAATACAAATTANTTAGTAGTTTCTGAAATACCCTGAATTCCCATCGAAAATGGACCAGCCTGTACATTAAATTTGTAAATATATAAAAAAATTGTTTAACTGTTATGTTCAACTCGATTGAAAATAATATTTTTTAAGATAGGTCAATAATAATTAGTTATTGTTTAGACTTTTAGATTGATTATATTGTTTACATTGTTTAGATTGCGTTAGATTGATAGATTATTTTTAGACAGTATCTTTTAGTGTGTCAATTCTGTTTACAATAAAATTGTTAAATATACGAAATTTAAAATTGTAATTGCACTGTTTTCTTTTAATTTATATTTCTTGCTAATAAACGATTGCTCCGGGGTCATTCAGTAAATTTTCAAAAACGTTCCTATTTTGTATACACAAAGTATTGCTCATGATTAGACGATCCTGAAAATTTCAACTCAATCCATTGAGCGGTTTTCAAACTACCTATATGATTTGTAAAATGCTAGTATTTCTCTCAGCCGTGGCAATGCAATGATGTCACCGCATGGGGCGGTTAGCCGGCTTAGTGCGCGGCTTAGCAGTTAGGTGCGCGTACGCTGTACGCTATTTCCCAGATCATGGAGAAAATTTATTTTTATTTTATCTCTGTCCCAAGTGAGTTTCTGCATCTGCAGGCTATAGAATCGCAGCAGATGCTTTAGCGTTTGTGCATATTAAATTTAAAAATGGGAGCAAAATTTCGTAAAAGCACATTCTTCTAATTTGCCAGAGGTAGGTTTGTTAATGGTTATGGATTTTTTTAATAAAAACCACAACTTTATCAGTGCTGTAATGAGAGGAGTGAAAATTCAAAGCTTCTATGAAGTGCGTTTGCAGCGAAAGTTTTTATGTTTTTGTACAATAAAAATAGTAAATAAGAATAAGGATTTTGTGCTTAATTATACGAGACCGTTTTTGTCACAGGTTTCAAAGATTTACCTAAAAAAATTTAAAATTCTTATTACTATATTTATTCCCATGGAAACTACATAAATTTACCTAATATCTTATAAATATATTAATAATACAGGGTGTAAGAAGTATGACTGCCATAAATTCAGCAGGGGATAGAATAATCATAAATGAACAAAAAAGTTGTATATTACAGGCGCGTAAGATTAACAGTTTTCAAAATACAGTGAGTACTAATATTGGAGAGTTTCATCGTAACGTGACAACACGTATACACGCGGCAGACTTATCATATGGAAAAAAATGTAAAGAACTATTATTATGATATATTTCAAGGCACTGTTATTTACTTAGGTGTATTCACACTAGTGTTTTCACACTAAGGAACAATATAATACATGTAATTTTTTTCTGTTCTGTGTCTTCCATATTGCTAACCAAATTCGATAACTTAAACGTACCAATCGATACTTAACAGGAATCTAAAACCCGACTACCCAACTGACAGCCACAAAAAAGACTGACATCACACGCAAGCATGAGGCAGCGGTTTCCCATGCGGTGACGTCACACCCGCTGTTTCAGCGTATACTCACAATAAGTGCGCCAATTTATAATTTTTTTTTTTTTGATGACTTATAGGCGATATAAAATTCTACTTTTTAGCTGAGAACCTTAAAATTGCAATATCTTTCCGTTAAGCAAATAAATAAAGTTTGCTAAATGAACTCATTTCCTTTAATAGTGGTGTTGAAAATAACATATTTTTTATGCAAATACAAATTAAAATTCCTTTTTATTGAAAACGGTTGGCTTTAAAGATATTAGCAAGGTATACTTTTTTTAAGCAGAAAAGTTGGGGAAAAGATTTTTCCGGCTCAAAGTGGAATACACCGTAGCACAAAAAGTTTTAGCAGACAATGGAATCGAATTTCTTTCTAATACTAAAAAACCACCGGATACGAAATTTCACGAAAATAGCTCGAAATAGTCGAAAAATATTAAAGAAAATGTTATTTATTTTTTCAACTCCGACACTCTGTAGCTCCGTTGGTATCAATTTCTGGACTAAGGCATGTTTAGCTGCTGGTGGAGAGTTGTACAGATATCCATTAGAGACACCCGTTATATTTAAACAGTTTATTCTATTCCTTATATATTTTTGAATTTGGTAAGGAAGTAAAACTTGCTGTTTTCAGATATGATGAGACAAATGCGTCTCCCCAAAAGTGAAATAATCTATTTTCACACTTCGTGTATGACACGTACATTCACGTGATGTGACAACAATGTGTCTCCATCTTTATGATATGTTTTCTGAATCGTTTTCTCAGTTGTAGAATACGTACAGATATGTAAAAGATACGAAACCGGGTGTGCGGTGCTTCTTTCGATTGACTCACCCTTACATTATAAATTACAGTCACGTTCTCACCGTCAGAGGAATGATTATCACTAGAAGGACGCCGCATTTCACGAAGTGGAGCCCTGGCGGCGAACTCGAAGAATTAGCGTGCTGCATTGCGGCCGGCTTCTCTTCTGAAACAAAACAAACAACGTTGTAGATGAATAAAAAATCCTTACCTACTACTCCGCGCCTGAAATTACAAGTAGGATGAGACAGTAAGTGTGCATTTCGCTGCTACCGAAAACATTTTCACTATCTGCTTGTAACTTTTAAAGAAAAGAAAGTTTATTAATGAAACTTTATTAGAGAAACTCTGTTTTTCCTGATATGAAATGAAATAGGTATGTTTTTGGAAAATTATTTCATGATGTCATAACAGGCACTATCATATGTTCCAAAAATAATATTTTCGGCTTACCTAAGGCAAACCTACGTGGTCATATTTGCACCCCCAAGCGAAATTTTTTTCGTATATCTTATTAGCACAATATCTCCACAGATGACGTTCCTCAGATGACGTTATACGATTTACCGATTATCCGCACGTCAACTGCTTGTTTACATTTTTTTACGAACAGAGAGAAATTACGAATTTCAGTCAACAAAAATGAAACTTACTGATGTGGTCGTTGCAGCAAATGTTAAGTAAATTTTGTTGGTGTGTCGTTTGTATAGCTTTGGCGAACACTTGTCAATAGTCCAATCAAATTGTCGAAAATAGCTCATTTTTTTGCCAAAAAATAATTCAGTAATTGAAAATATTTAGAAATTAGAAAAAATTCCGTAAATTCAATGAACTACTTTACCCCACCTGAATTTTTGGGCATCATTTTTAAAATGGCGTCAAAGTTCGCAAAAAACGGTTTTTTTTCATTTATAAGAAACTAAACATTTTAGAAAAAAATGTTTCAAACAAGCTTAGGAATTTTTAATACCGATCAAATAAAAAGAACCGACACCACTTTTATTATTTTATTATCTCAATGAGATACGTACCAATTCATAAATGATAAAAAAACCATTATAAATGTACATGAAAAGANTTAATAATTAATAAAGGCAAAAGCATTTGAATTTGCCGATATAAAATAGGTGCGATAAAATTCTATTTACATATTTCTTTCCTTGCGAAAGTTTTTGTCCGTTTTTATCACGCCGCCATACCGGTCGCATTGTGCGAGGTCAGGTTTTACAGTGGACCAGTTTCCAGTGCCGTGCAGAAGTGTATTTTTAAATCAATTTCGAACTGACCTTTTTGATTTTTTCTTTACAAAATTGTATTTGTAAGGGTCTATTGTAGATCCAGAATTTTTTTTTTGGAAATGTTCTGAATCACCCTGTATTTATATTGTACATTTCCCGTGATGATATGTTTTTGTTAAAATTACAAAAAAATAAAATCATTGAAAGCGTCAACACCTGTACCTTTCAATATCCTTCACTGTCTTCATTATTTGAACTACGGAATAATGGTGATAATACTAAGACAATCAAAATTAATAGTGTTCCAAAACTTGTACCCATTAAAAATTCAAAAAACTAAAAGACGAATTACAGGTCTCTATTTTTTATCAAAATGTTAGAGGACTTCGAACCAAAACCTAGAAGTTTTCTTTTCAAATTTTGCACATTTTTTAAAAAGACGCAATGGATTTTAGAAAGACTTCTCACTTACTAAGAAAATTCGTAATAAATAATTTTCGTACAACATATGAAAAAATGTTTTTCTAAATAACATTCACATTTTAAAGAATTGATCCGTGACCACAATAACAATAAACAAAAATTATAAACTGATCAACTTGTAAAAAGTGAGATAAACCTTTATGTCAAAATGGGAACAACATTTTATTAAATTTACTTATAAAAGGAAATATAAAGTCAGAATAATATTAATCAAATAGATACCTCATCGGCATCGCCTGGTATCAGTATCCATTTGTTTCAGTACGAAATTATTTTTTATCAGGACGCGTGACAATTTCATGTATCCTGAAACGCGCGACGATATATTTCAATAATAAATCATATCGTATGTCACATAGTGCACGTAAACCCGGTTTATGTTTACACGTAATTGATCAATACTTGTACCGCAAANGAAAAAATACACGTAGTTCAAATTCATGCATCAAAATTTGGTCATAGATTCTTAAGGCAAATTTAAGAGACCCATATTTTTTTATTTTTGCCAACTGGCCCCCTTTTTCGGAGTTACAGCCCCCTGGAGTCTGCCCCTAAGAAGTCTTTTTTATATCTCAAAACCATGTTGTACGAGAATCACTAAATTTGGTACACAGGGGTTTTATGACATGTGGAATCCAGGGATGGGCGTTTACGCGTCGACTTTAATTGTCGACGTCTACGTGTAGACTTCGCGTAGACTATGTAAACAACGTAGACTATGTAGACAATGTAGACAAAGCGGAGTTTACGCTCTAATTTCAGTTTAATCTAACCTATATTATATTTGCGTTACATTTACGTATGATCTATTTTGTGCTGTACTCAATTCATCACTCAACTTTTTCTGTTTGGCTGTTTTTACATAAACATAAAATGAGCGGACGTAAACCAAATTATAATTTTGGTCGGTTAAGATTAAGAAAGTGAAAACTTTCATTTTTGTATACTTAATATATATTTTTTAATATTTTTTAAAACAAAAATTATAAAAAAAATTATATAAATATATAAATTAAGACAGTCAGTAAAAAACAGTTTATTTAATTTTAAAATTTGTGTCTCCATTCGTGACCTCATTAAGTGAAAACTAGGGAATACATATAATACTCATATATGTATAGAGGTACATATACCAATAAATACACATAATATTTAGTTTGAGAAAATGCAATAAAAACATTATCTTGTGCCTCTGCAAATATTTACAGAAATATGTTACCATTTATCGTTTATTGAAAAGCTCAGCTCTATATGATCTGTATTAAAATCTTAGATCTTATATATTTACATAATATGATCTAGGATTGAAACAAAAATTATTTTGAAAGGGTACCTATATTATAAATTAGTAGAAATATTTAATAAAATTTTTTTCTATTAATTTCTGTAACTCTAACACCTTTAGAAAAAATAAAATTAACGTGTTCTAACTAAACTAAAATATCTACACAAAGTGTTCTTAAAACTTAATCAGATATTCCAAATTGTTGCTGACTTTAAAAATGATAAAATTTTCATTAAAGAATATATGCGACATATCTTTATTTAGAGATTTTATAGAAAAAAAAAATTTGGTCAATCTGACCTGACCTAAAACTATCGAGGAGCATCAAGCGAGACATTTTTTTTCTCGTGAATTCTCGGCAGATATTGTTTGATCTTTTGTACTCGGTTCATACATTTTTTTTATAGATGGTTGTGACAGGTAGGTACTTTTCCAAATTCCAAATTTTAAATTTTTCTTTTTTTGCAAGAATCTCGAGTTACAGCCTTACGAAATTCTTATTTTGAGGTACATACCTACAACACTTTTTTCTAGTTTTGAGAGTTTCTTTATTGTTGACATTGTCGACATTGTCTACATTGTCGACTCTTCCAAATTAAGTCTTCATCTAGATCATTGTCTACGCGTAAACAATTGCATTGTCTACGTCGACATTGTCTACCCGCCCATCCCTGGTGGAATCTCACAGTGCTACGCTTTTTGGCGAGAAACCCCCTTAAAACACTTTTTCGTGGGCCCCCTTGTCTTTGGAACCAGAAAAATTTGGTGACAAATTTGATTTGTTAAAAATTATTAGTTAGCTAGAAAGCCATTGAATTTAGGAACTTTTTTGTCTCTTGATATTTGTTTCGTAAAACGCAATGTTTTTGAGGAAAATGGCGAATCACGATATGCATTCGATCACATTTTGACATTTTTCTCGAAAACATTGCGTTTTACGAAAAAAGTATAGAGACAAAAAGTATCTAAATTTAATGGCTTTCTAGTGGACTGACAATTTTTGAGAAATTTAAATATGCGACCAAATTTTTTTGGTTCCAGACAAGGGGGCCCACGAAAAATTGTCTTAAGGGGGTTCCCCGCCAAAAAACGTCCAGATTCTACATGTCACAAAACCCCTGTGTACCAAATTTAGTGATTCTCGTACAACAGGGTTCTGAGATATAAAAAAAGATTATCCTTAGGGGCGGACTTCAGGGGGTTGTAACTCCGAAAGAGGGGCCACTTGGCAAAAATAAAAAATACGGGTCCCCTAAATTTGTCTTAAGAATCTGTGACCAAATTTTGTTGCATGAATTTCGGGACAGTCTGTATACGGGGCCCATAAAAATGAAATTTAATGAAATAAAATGGGACCAATCGTTGCAGACTACTTTTTATATCGAAGTACAATCAATTATAACATGTGTAAATTTCAGCCCTTAATATTAATAAATGAGGTCGTGGCGATTTTTCGAAAAAAAAAAAATTCTCGGCCCTTGTTGGTCGTAGGGCAAATGTTTAAAAATTCGTGAAAAAATGTCAACTTTCGTACGGCAGTATCGACATTATGATACGAATTGAAATCAAAAAGTTAATCAAAGTTTTATGGCCACGAAAAGAAAACCAATATTTCGATAGTTTTTTGCGATATTTGAAATTGATTTGTGGCTCGCGCAATACTTGCACATAATAGTGTAATTATTAAAGAAAATTTTAAGCCCAACCCCGTTCCTAGAGATGTGGCGGCCATGAATTATGGGGATTTTACAAAAACGCTTTTTCTTCGAAAAACTCGAATTTTGCAAAAACTATAAAATATTTTTCAAATTTGAAAAAGTCATTTTATTTTGCCAAGAGCTNAAAAAACTAAAAGACGAATTACAGGTCTCTATTTTTTATCAAAATGTTTGAGGACTTCGAACCAAAACCTAGAAGTGTTTAAAGCATCATTAAATCTTAATTATGATATTATAGTTTTGGTTGAAACTTGGCTTTGTCCTGACATATTTGATAGTGAAATTTTTTGTTTGGACTACGTAGTTTTTAGGAAGGATAGATCATTGGACACCAGTACCAAGGCCGCTCAGTGCAGTGAAATCTAAGTTACCTGCTGCTATAGTTTCAGTTCCTGAGAACCATTGTAAAGAAATTTTGATATCTATTTGCATTAATGCAGTT